TTTTTTAAAGACGGGGACCACATGGGCTATCTTCCAATCATCTGGCACCTGGCCCGAGCACCACGAGCACTCATAAAGCCGTTCCAAGGGCCCTGCAATAACCGCTGCTAGCTCCCTCAACACCCTGGGGTGGAGAGCATCTGGACCCGCTGATTTGAACATGTCCAGCCCCTCCAGAAGCTCTCTAACCCGGTCCTCCCCATCCTGAAGTCTGGAAGTGTTCCCCTTGAGTCCATTGTGCATCACAGTGGGGAAGTCCTGGTCCCTGCACAAGAAAACAGAGGTGAAGAATTGGTTAAAGAGGTCTGCTTTCTCCCCTGGCGCAACCACCAGATTGCCCAGAGGATCTTGCAGGGGCCCCACATTTCCCAGTGCTTTCTTCATCCTCCCTATATATTTGAAAAAGGACTTTTTGTTATCTTTGATTTTGGACGCAAGTCCTAGCTCTATAGGACTTGCATAGGATGACTTCATTTAATATCTGCCCTTATTTGGTTACATAACGAAACTTCTAGTTTTTAATCGAGGCCTTCAAAAGGCTTGACTTAACAGTTTCATCTTGATTTTTGCATGTGTAGCTGACGGAATTCGAAGTCTTCGATTGTCTTAACGTTCAAAAACTTTTCCTATTACACAGTTGACCCTGGAGATCTTTGCACAGTCATGGTAATCAGTAATTCATAACTCTTAATTTTTGTGTTTATATTTAGTCCCTACGTTGTCAAGTATTATGGCAGCTACTTTAAGAACACAGATCTCTGGATTGTTATGGAATATTGCGGAGCTGGCTCCGTCTCGGACATAATTAGATTACGGAATAAAACAGTAAGTTCTTTTTTCTAAATGTATAAATAATATTTATATATTATTGTTTAAATTCATTCTAATGTTATTTTTATTCTATTACTTGCTTTGCATAAACTTGAAGGGATTTAAAAAAAATGTCCTCAATAGTATACATTCTTAAATTCCATTGAGATGAATGGAAATTGAAAGTTGGGATTACTTCTCTGGAACTGGGCCCCAAATGCTATAGTATGATATTTATGTAGCCACACAAGTGCTGTCTATTTACTTGATGTCTCAAATTGTAAAATGTTTGGGGGAGGGTGGTCATTTGGTAGCTCTACATATCTGAATAAGACAGTGTTCAAACCTTTTAGTTCTGAACTGTGGATTCTTTTCTTCACTAATTAAAAGTTTTTTTTTTTTTTAACTTCACCTCTCAACTGCCATCACAATGGTATCTCTCAGTTATTGTATAATTGTGTAGAAGTTAGGGGGCGTGGCTGTCTTTTGTCACTGACTTTTCTTTCCCACTTCCCCAAAAAAATATTTCAGGATTTTGTTTTGACTTCTTCTCCCTGCCCTATATATAATGACACTTAATTCCCCGCTCTTTCCATTATTTATGAAACTTCTAGATCTATAAACTATACCATGCAACCTCCCTTCTTTTTAATATGAAAGCTGATTGCAGTTCTTTTTGTCTTTGTACCTATGTACCATGTTTATATTAAAGTAGTTAAATTAGATTTGCAAAGAGTTTTCATAAGTGAAATTCATTCCTAAAATGTTGAGTTTGTGAAAATACTCCCAGAGTCCAGCCATAAGCCACTTTCAGTAGTTCGGGCTTTTCCTGGAAAGCATCTGTACTTAAGGTTTT